CTGATGATGAATTAATCGAAAACGTTCGTTCGCCTATCTTGAATTCTTGAATTCTGGTCAGCGCAGCGCTTGAAAGTTTCGCCAACGGGTTAGAACGACGAGGTTGAGGCATACAAGCGAACGTGCGAGTCCTAAGAAGTAATTTAGATGAACCTGATGCGATCGCTGGGACACGACTTAAATTTGCCCCAAGTAATGACACCCATCGCGGATTCTTCATCAGAGGCATCAACAGAAAACGGTTGCAGAAGTGGGTAATACATGCACAGGAAGTTGCAGTATTGCCAATAAAAGCGAACATACGAGTCCGTGGAAGTAATTTTTTGATTGTATTGGCAATTTATTTGGGCGCGATGCGCATCGATCGGCCCGACGATAGGACACATTTACTCTTCAGTAGGCCTCAACATATTCGCAAATCCGGTTTCTGCACAGATGTTTTGACACCCAGCGATCGACTCATCTTCTTCTCAGTTGCAGTATTTATAAGATACAATAATTACTGCACACGCATGACAAATAACGACAAGTAACGATAACTGCCCTCTTGTGCGTGGATTGCTTGATGACTGGCATGCGAACCGTAACCTGTTGAATTGGTACTGCGGACAAAGCAACTACGTCGGGGAAACTGACAAGTTTCTCAAGAAGCGAACTGCCGAGCACGCGGCAGCAGTGCGACGAAGTGATGCCAATGCTCAAGTTGCAGCTTATTCAACGAGACTCAGCCACACATTCAAATTTGATGACACTAAAATTCCCACAAGAGATGATAATCAGGTGCCGAGAATTATTTGAGTCATGGTTCACGGATCCCCAGTCCATAAACAAGTGCGACGACTTGCCCAATCCGTATTCGGTGCCAAGGTTCAATTTGGACAAGGCAAATTGTCACTTGGGGAATGCACACACCACCGGATCGCCTTACGTCAACATTGAAGAACCAGATGGCCGAGCAATCATCACGCCAAATGCCAGCACGCGTGCTGCAAGTTCAGCAGGTCACGGCCCGCATGCCGGTCAGAAAGCAAGTTACGCGTAAGAGGGCAATTATCGTTTATTGTCGGTGACATAAGTGCGCAGTAATGACTAGATCCCATAAATACAGCAACCTACTGGGCATTTATTTACCGCTTTTGCTACCTTTTTCTGCTAATGACTTTGATGAAGGATCTGCAACGGATGTCAGAACGTCAGGTGAATAAAAGTCTTATCCTAGCGATCGTATCTTCTTCTGGATGCTGAGGAACTGACACTGAAAGTCATTAATTCGCTGGACAAATGAATGATCGCTAGAACAATATATTTATCTAATCTGAATATCACATTCATGTAATAAGCCAAGAATTCACAAACATTCTGCTTTTTGAGAAAAGGATGACGTAATACTGATAACATATCAGCACTGAATAAGTCCACATTTCTGATTTAGTAATTTTACTACGACTGAATTAACAAGGCTCATCTCCATATTATGGAAACAGGAGCTGATGAAGTAGACAACAGAAAAGAAAAGTTAGTTTATGCACTTCTATCGGAATCAATGAAGAGTTGTAACATGTTACTAATATAATTTGTCATTATTCTTCAGGTTTCAAATTGGCGGTACAGGCCCGAAACTAGAGGTCCTTAAAAAAGGAACAGAATTTGGAGAAATTGCTGACCTGCTTCTGCCTACTGAACGCGCCTTCTTTTTCGTACGACTAATAGTTGGGGACGAAATGAGCCAACGGGTCAAATTCGGACTGATAACTTGGATTGGCAACGAAACGAAGGCCATGCAAAGAGCCCGCGTGGCTATGGAAAAAAGCGTCGTGAAGGAAGTTGTTGTGGTAAGAATTTAACAATATAGAAAACAGATATTTTCATATAACGTAGGTCTAGTTGTAGACTTCTAGAGAATATGCCAAAGAATTCATATTTGGAGTCCTGAAAATTCGATTGTTTCTACCTATACTATCACTTAAATCCACACAGAAATGGCCATACCCTTATTAAGAAAAAACAGAGCTACTGTAAAAATTTAAGTAACCTATTTGTATTCGCAGAATTTCGCGGTGGACCTCACGTTCAGCGAGACGAATGAATGCACTGAAGAAGCAGTCGCTGAAGCAATGCGAAAGGCTGGTGGAGCAAACTACGGCCGAGGATGAATCCACAAACATATTGAAAGAAAAAAATTATTCAAAAAACATATAGGAATAATATTTTATAATCATCTGCACGATGCAGCCCCCGAAATTATACGCCTCCCCCAACTTCAGTACTGTCTTTTTTATGCGTTAACTATTATATTCGGCAAAATAAGGGCACAGTCCCTGTAATCGGAAAAAAATAAATGCTTTATATCAAGCATTTTGCAGTCGGACGCCAAAGGTCTTTCCTTTGAAGACATAACAATGCCAGAAACATACTACATTTTAGAGATTTACAAAGCAAGCTTCATGAATGTCTGAAAGAACAGTTACCAAAATATTTAATAACAGAGAGAGTAAAAACAATCCAACTCGCTTCAATGCTTAATCCGAATATTTTTTCCATTGTCAGTTAAAACGGTGAGTAGCGTTTTAATTTATGAGTTTCCGAAATACATGCATTAATAGTGTTGGCGTAAATTTGGTTTAAACCTCATCAAATAAACATAGGATGTTTGTCGAACAGTATAGAAAGAAGTGACATCAGCTGTGAAAACTATACATAAAGTACTACAGCTCTACCCCAGGTAAGCTGTTGCTTAATCCTAGTAAAGCCCAGCTGTGTGTAAATGTTTTTTTAGATACTGTGCTATGCCTCCATTTGCAATTACTCATTACTTTGCATATGGTTTAAAAGGTTATCTGCCAGGCGCTACTTGACACTGCATATGCGCTCACATTAGTCATCGCTATGCACTTTCCCTCAAACGTAAACTAAAATGCTTTTGAAGGAGTGGCATAACTTGCACTTGATTGGACAACACTCCACGAAGAAGAACATCGCAGAATTGTTAGTTACATTAAAACAAACAACGGGCTTCATAAAAGGGGATGTTTGCATGTTTACTTTGTCATACAGTGAGATGGTCTGTTTTGAACCCTCAGCAACGTCTGAGTAAGTTCGGGTGCCAGCCAACTTGAAGTAGATTCATCTGAGCTCCATTGACGTTACACCCGCGGCTTTCAGTTTAGAGCCTGCCACACATAAATATGTTGAAAAAATAAAAGTGAATTTGTAGCATGGGCCGAAGAAGTTACAAAAATGAGTGCATCGAAACAATTGAATTAAGTGTTTGTGGCGTTCACCTTCCCGATGCTGCTTAAATTTGAAATGGACAAAGTGGTTTGACATTTCTTCGCCACGACCGTCCAAAAACATTGTACAGTGCACCGTTCAACAGATAAGATAAGGTCGAGCTTTGTGTTGTACCTACTCAGTGGCCAAACAGCAGATTAACATTTATGATAATTTCGGAGTATTTAGGAGTTAAACTAGACGTTAAAACTTCAGATATGCAGCGAAAGTGGACAAATTGTTTCAAGAAAACACCATTATACTAAATATTAACGGCACATTTTATGTTTGTTTTTCTGGGAAATGTCCAGTGGGCAACGTACCGTAGTTGACCAGCCACGTAGTTTGCAAATTGCTTTATAGGTTTAAACTAAAATATAAGCAGAAGGTAGGAAACTGTTATAAGCATTTTAATCGGTGAGCTTGCTAAGGCTCTTTAGTTGGAAAACAGAAAAGGACGGTGATTAATCCTGAATTTAGGACGACGTGAACTCCGACTACAAGAGAACTGCGCAAAGCCTTGTAATGCGCGAGCAGAGTACTCTGGTCTTCTTACCTGTCTCCTTCTCTAATCAGATCCTGTCTCCAATGAAGCCTTCGAGCGTGAATTCAAAACGACAGACGACGCCGTCTCTCTCTTTTCGGTTGCATTCCGGAAGTCGCATTTTTAATTAACGTAGCAGCTCACAGGAGTAGGCTAGGGATTGCAATTACTAAACTCTCTGTTGACCTTTTGATTAAATCTAGAACAATCAATCGCATAGATAAGCTATTTTCGCCCGACTTTACTAAGAAAAGGACAAAACATGCTTTGTAGAAGTCTGGGTGGGGAGTGGTGGACTAGATTTAGGATATTTTCAACAAAAAGCACCAACTAACCACCAAAGAGAAAAGCAAGCTAAACGCTATATGTTTTAAGGGTTGAAAGCAGCCATTAAGGTAGCAATTAGTCGTAGAAAAGAATCTTGACGTTTCAGGGAGCGTTACTATAGGGGCTCTTGTGTTCAACATGTCACGGAAGGATTTAAGTAAACCCTAGCGTGATGCAATGAGATTTTCGCCTCTGTATGAGAAAAAATCGAAAACATAGTAACCTATATTAACGCTATAGCGTCTAATCAGTGAGAAATGGTTTGCAAATCTTGTTCTAACCTCCATACATTAAATTACGCAGGAAGGTCTAAAGCCCTTTTGATAAGGCTAGTGTCCGAATGCCGCTCTCAAAAGTAAGTTGTTGTATTAGTGAAGTGCCTCGCACTAATAGAGCTGTCTTTCTAAGGTCAAATGTAGGTCTAGCTTCCAACTTACCAGTTTATGTTAATGTAGTCGGGTTTTCAGTTTTCGTCCAACTCCCGCCGAGGTAGTTGCAGTTCCATCAATTGCAACGTATGTGGTGGACAATTGTCATGGTCTCGGTAGGGTATAGTCTTCCTTAGATTGAATCATAGGACGAGGCATTGCTATCTGAGACCAATGGGCTATACCTCCTCCGGCGAATTGAAACAGTGAAAAGGACTGCCTCGGACACAACGTTTTATGTAGAGACATCGGATTATTACAACCATGGCCGTAATCTTGGGATAAACTACTGTTGAAGTAAGATATTATTCGTGCGCCGATGGCTTTTCTAAATATTGCCGTTTACAGGTGTTTAGTTGTACATCGGCGCTCAAGGACGTCTTTGGTGTACCATAGTATTCATTCAGAGAGCCTAGTACGATGTGATGTCCATCTGCCCGCCCTAGTTGTTTAGAAGTCACTGGTATGATTAAAAGTAAGACTTGCGTCATGGTGTACGAACTAGCTGGTTATTACAACAGATAGAAAATATATAGAGCTTATTATAAGAATAAGATGATATCACATGGTATCTCCTGAGTCCTACATCACAAAGTTTGACTTCAGAATCCGTCCCAGCAAGGCCAGAAATTAAATTTGTGCGGGCCCCGCAATTACCCTTAATATGTAGACGTTGGAAAAGGGCTTAGGCGAGATGGGTTCGCAGGCTGCCTGTTCAGTTATCTAATGCAGATTTGGCGGACATAAGCACCTTGTACACTTTCATCACAAATGTTTGTAAGTGAAGCGTCATAAAGGCAGATTAATTGCGCTATGAGTTCATTAAGTGTATTCCTTCTATGTTGTCGCGATTATTCTTAAAACTAAAATGTAATTTATGGCTTGGAAAAGCTATACCCGTTTCTTTCACCGATTGTAGCTCACCAGCCATCCTCGATCGCAAAATAGCAATGACCCTTTTCAAAGTGCGCATCTGAAGTCGAGATATCGCTGGCCGAAAACGACTGATAAGCTGATTATAATTATTCGCTTAGTCCAGGTCTTCGTCCACAGCATTAATCACAAATGAGTAGCGTTTAGTTCTTAAGTCTATTCTGCCATCCGCTAAACATACAATTCATCGAAGCCCTAGTCACGTATTTTATAATTGGATAGTTCTCGCTTTAGGAGGAGTTATTGCTTGACCTATGCGGTTGCACAACGCATACAGTTAAATGTTAACTTGCCCAACAAAGTTAGATAACTACACTTAAATAGCTACCAGATGCATTTTAGTAGGTGTACATATGCTTAAGTTTTTTTTCACCGAAATCTTTGGTATCCTGCGGTTACTTTTACTTTTATAAGGTTTAGCTTATTTTTTAGTTTAGTTTAGATTTTAGGATACTATATAGTTTATTGGCTTAATTTAAGTTTTAGTCTAGTCTAGTTTAGCTTAGTTTCGTAAGTTCTTTTTTTGTTAAGTTCGGTTTTAGTTAAATTTAGTTTTTAGTTTATCATCGTACTACAATATCCGTCCAAGCGCCTTAGAAAATCTTGCGATCTTTAAAAGAATGGGGGAAAGCCTATCTTTTATGCTGTTACTTAAGTATCTAAAGTTCGATATAACGTCGAAACACGATTAAATGCAGTTTCGGTTTCCTATTGGTTGTATTCCTCAAACATGTAATTTAAAAGATTACTCCTATTACTTTCTACTTTTATGCATTCTCCTGTTTAAATTTATTTCTTCTTTCCCTGATATGACCCATTCATGAAACCCTTATTGCAACCGGTCCCGCAAGATAGGATCCTGGTGTTAGAGTTATCTTAGGCTGGCGAAGGAATAAATATTTGCCCGCGTTTGTATGCGAATCAAAAATATCCTTATAGAGCCCTGAAAAAGTGGTCACTCTTTTCGAATTCGCCTTTCAAGTATGAACAGTAATCACGAAATATGTCAGGAGTATGACTGTATCTAAAAACCGTCACTATCCCAACAGGAGCGATGCAATTCGGACTAGTAAACTCAGCCATCCGCACACCGAAATATCATTCAACACTTATGGTTGCAGTACTGCAAGGCGAATTACGTCACGGCCCACGAAAAACTGAATGCAAGATAATTGCTCTTACTTGACTGTTAATCGCTGTATGTTTTTGCAGATTCCCATTGTTCCACCCTCCGTCTGCCTCCCAAACCTGCACAGACAGCTCTGGTTAAGCGAAGTAGCCTCTCATTTTGCAATCTCCAACCAGTTATAAACGTCCTGGAGGATTATACAGGTCCGCAAAGAATGCATCCAACACAGTTTCTTTAGCCTACAAAATCTCATGGATCCATGACGAAAGCATACCACCCACCAGAGGACACATGTTGCCAAATTCATTTGACTTATTTTCAGGGTTTATCCATCGCTAGTTGTTATAATTTGCCCTGGGAGTAATCTGGTCCCAAAAACCCAAGAGCAACCTTCAAAGTAATATTAAGAAGCTAGTTGATGGCCTTACAGTAGTTCATCAAAGGAAGGTCTCGGCCGCCAGCTAACTCAAAAGATCCCAAGTAGTTATCTGCCTAGACGGGGGAAATGTAGAGTTCTTAAGC